ATATTTGCGCGGGCTTGAGTCAGCAATTCCCTGTACTTCCGGACGGAAGCGGGAGAGCAGGCAGCGTCAATGTCGGCTGGTCGAGGGAGGAGAAGGTCGGCGAAGATACAGCCTTTCCGTCCAACGTGGTGCAACTCGAATGGAGTCACGCCGATCGCCGGGCGCACCGAAATGTTGTCGGCGAACTCGATGTCGGGGAGGCAGTCAACCCAATCTTTCTGGTCCGGACGGATGAGCATATGAAGCATCATTTGAGCGTTTTGATGTGCCCGCTCCGTCTGCCCGTCTGTCTGAGGATGTCGAGCCGAACTTGGTTTCATTGTTGTGCCGGACTCCTGCATGAGAGCAGTCCACAACGCCGACATGAAACGAGTGTCGCGGTCGCTGACAATGTCTTCTGGTACACCGTGGCCACAAATCCAACCTGTGTGCAGGAGGCGTGCTAGCTCGGGAGCCGTGGAGTAGTACTTGCAAGGAAGAAAACGCGCGCACTTACTCAATCGGTCCACAACCGTGCGGATGTCGTCGTGCCCGAGCCGGTCGCGAGGGAATGGACCGGTGAGGTCCATGGCAATGGAGAGACCGGGTTCCCGTGGGATAGGCATCGGGTGTAACTCGCCATAGGGATTGCGGTTGCGGGGTTTGCTGCGTCGGCAAACTTCGCACGAGTCGCAATACCGAGTGACATCGATAATAAGGTCAGGCCATCGGAATCGCTGTTGAAGCCGTGCAATAGTGCGGTTGACTCCGAAATGGCCGGCGAGTCGTGAATCATGATACTCGTCGAGGAGGCGAGTCCGAATACGACGGTCGCGTGGGACACATAGTAAGTCCTTGCCTGTCGAGTAGAGGAGCAAGTACCCGTCAGCAATGCAGTAATGGCTAGCCGGCGGGTGATCCGAAGATAGCTGTGCATAGAGCGTGCCGAAGTCCGGATCAGACTGATATGCTCGGATGAAATGTCGTTGAAGCTCCTCCTCGAATGCGAAGGCATGATGTGTCATGGCGCAAAGATCAGGTCTTCGCGAGAGTGCATCTGTTGCGCGATTGGAGAGGTCGGGGACATGTTTCRGTKTGAAGTCAAATTGGTCGATGAAGTACATCCATCGTCCAATCGTGCTGCTCACCGTGTCCTGCGTCTTGTAGTAGGTCAATGGATTGTTGTCTGTGACCCATGTGAACCTACGACGCCCAAGGAGGAAGTGCCGCCAGCGCTTGAGAGCCATCACGAATGCGAGCAGCTCCTTCTTCCTTGCATCATCAAGCGAGTTGATGGGAGGCACTTTGTGGCTGAAATACTCCACAGGGTGCTAGTCGTCATCGTTGTGCTGTTCCAAGACTGCCCCAATGCCATAGCCGGAAGCGTCCGTAGTCACTCGCGTCGGCACGGTGGGGTCATAGATGCTAAGGACGGGTGCCATGAGCATAGCCGTCTTAAGTGCTTGGAATGACCGGCGTGCGTCGTCATCGAATACGAATGGCACCTTTGGCGACTGTAATCTCGTCACAGGTGCAGCAATCCTGGAGTATCCGGTGATGAATCACTGATAGTAGCCCGCCAACCCCATGAATGAACGAACGTCCGTGGTGTTGGTGGGCTCGGGCCATACTCGTAGGGCCTCGATCTTGTCCGCAAGCGGACGGATGCCTTGCGGCGTCACATAGTGTCCCAAGTACTCCAACTCCTGCTGTGCGAACTCGCACTTGTTGCGGTTTGCTTTGTACTTGGCTTGTCGTAGCCGCTCCAAAACGGTGCGCAGATGTTCCACATGCTCGTCCAGACTCCGACTGTAAACCAGAATGTCGTTATGGTAGATAAGTACGAAACGATCCAGCATGTGTCAGAACTCCGTTGTCATAGCCGCTTGGAAAATGGTTGGGTCATTCATAAGGCCAAACGGCATGACCAGCCATTCGAAATACCCATACCGTGTCTTGAACGCGGTCTTGTAGCGATCCTCATTGCAAATCTCGAGTTGGTGGTACCCTTACTTGAGATCCAGCTTAGAGAAGAACTGGGCGCCGCCCAATCGCTCGAGAAGGTCATCGATGCGTGGGAGAGGGCCGACGTTCCTGATCGTCTGCGCGTTGAGCTTGCGATAATCGATGCACAACCGCAGGTCCTTGTTCTTCTTCCGGACGAAGAGAATAGGAGCACCGTATGGCGATGAGCTAGGCCGAATCCAACCTTTCTCTAAAAAGGTCGTCGAGTTGTGCGCGAAGCACACTTAACTCTTCCTCGCTCATTCGGTTGATGCAACCGCGCGGAGGTAGGGCCCCGTCCTCGAGGATGATCTCGTGGCGGATGGGCCGATCCGGTACTACGTCGTGCGGGCCTTCGAACACGTCGCTGTAGGCGTCGAGAAGTTCGGTGATGCGTGGATCCAAAGATGAGTCCGTCGATAAAGCGTCTCGGGCGGGAGGGCGTGGAGAAAACACACCCCCATCTTCTCGATGTCGTCTCTGATGATGGAAACTCACATGCTTGCGGCGGATACCACGTGGCAGCTGATCGAAGGATGAGGAAGAGGCACCGTGCATGAAACTAATACTCCGTTCCGATCACGAACGTGAACGGTGCGGTTGAAGAAGTTCATCGGGTGATCCTTGCTTCGCATCCATGACATGCCCAAGATCATGTCGAATTTGGTGTCCAGAATATCAAAGGACACCGCCTCACTTGCGTGAGGGGCAAAGTACACGGGGACGACATCAATGCACCGGTCGATTGACTTGTGCGTATGACCGTCTGCCAGCGTGACTTGCGTAGGCTGGGACTTCCTCTGGACACGTGGGCCAAGGCCGACACGTACCATGAAGTCATAGCTGATGTAGTTGCAAGATGCTCCGCAATCGATCAAGGCACTGCAGGTCGCCTCTCCGATCTGAATGCGTACGTATAACAATGGTGCGTCGATACTGTCGTACCGTTGCGTCTTGAACTCGTGGTCGATTTTTGCGATGTAGGCGTGAAGGTCGACAACCTCTGCTCCGGCGTCCATCAACGGAGCTGGTACTGCAGTGTGCAAGTAGTCCCGCAGTTGTGCCATGAGCACATTGCAATGCGGTTTTGGCAATCGTCCGGTCGAGGGAACGGACATCCACTGGAAGTCCGTGAACGTCAACGGGTCGAGTTCTTCAAGTCTTGACCATGACGTCGAATCCCCGGCGATAGATTGCGGCGAAGCTGCCGAATCGGTTGCCGATGGTGATGAAACCGTGCATGCGGTGGTCTGTTGCACGTGGAGGGGCTGGTCCAGCGGTAGAACCAAGTGGACAGGATAATCCTCGTAAGTGTACCGAGGACTTGCGACATTCGTGTTCTCCCCAGATGTGCATGGAGGCCGGTAGCAAGGCGGCCGAATCTTGCGGAGTAGAAGGTGGAGTCGCCTCACCTTCCGCGGAACTCAGTTTCCCGAGCTGAGGTGGGGTCGCACATCCTCCTTGCCCTGATCCTGGCACAGGGAGGTCTTGTGCTTGGTGCTATTGCACCAATAGCAGCTGCCGTAGCCGCTGCGGACCTTGTACTCCGCCTCGGTCAAGCCGAACTTGACCCATGGAACTTGTACTGGCTGTCCATTTTCGGCCTGCGATGCGGATTTCGCCTTCCCATTGTTGCGGGACTTGTTGTTGCTTCGCGGCTGGACAGCAGCCAAGTGATCTCCGTCACTTGATGCTGGAGTGGCCGCTAGGTTATCTCCACTGTCCGACTGGACTGCAGCGAAGTGCTGTTGTCGCGGATCAGTTCCTACCTTCTCCACATAGGTTGGCTGCCATGTTGATTTCTCGTGTGCAGCTGACCTATTGGTCTTGATGATCTTTCTCGCCTTGTCGATAATCTCGGCGAAAGTGGAGTACTGCTCGCGATCACCAAGAGCCTGGCTCAATGCAGCACAGGACCTTATGTAGAACTCACGTCTGAGATGAGTGAAAGGCAAGTCCAGATTGGGCACTGCCGCAATCTTCTGCCACTATGTGAGCCAATCCCGTGTTGCAGTGTTGCCCTGTGACATGGTGAACAAACGGTTGATGGCGAGTGCCGGCGCGTCGTCGACGATGAACCGCTTCTTCCATAGCCGTGTCAGTTCCTCCCATGTGATTTTGTCCTTCAAGTCTGGTACGTCGACGCCGTGGGAGGTTGCTAGGTGGCTCAACCTGGTCTGGCATCCGCCCTTTGAGTTCAGGAACAGGGCGTCGATGTACGCATGCTTGACTACGGGCAAAATCCTGAGTTGCGTTGTGAATGCTTCCCACCAGAGGACCGGTACCTGCTGCGTGTAGTCGTCGAACTTCTCCAGGTTGAAAGTTAGCATCTTGAACATCTTCGGATTGCCACCAGCATTCGTCGACTGCAGCTGCTGGACCTCGGTCTTCAAGGTATGCAGCAGACTGCTGATGGTGGTGGCCGGCGCAGCGAAGGTGCTGATGTCGCCGAGCATTGCCACTACGTGGTCAACGCGGTCCTCCAGTTGGCGGCTAGAGGGTGCACTGCTGGAAGCACCAGCAGCTGGTCTTGGTACAGCCTATTCCAGGTCCAGTACACGGACGTCCAGCTCCCGTGTGGCATCCTCGTGTTGAGCCTTGTGGTTCCTCAGAGCCCGCTGAAGGTTCGCCAGCTCGGACAGTACGTGGTTATAAGTGTAAACCAGCCTGGTCACGAGCTTGGCCATGAACTCCTTATGCTTCTCTTCCGGTGTTGCCTCGTCGCCGTTTCGTTCAAAGCGCCAGAACTTGAGTCTGTCGATGCTGTTGGCTTCATGCCGCTGCAGCAGATCCTGGGCTACCTTGCGGCGAGCCTGGGCATCTGCGTTTGGTTCGGTTTGTAGCCGCAGCTTCTCTTCTGCTGCCGCTTCGTCAGCCTGTAGCAGGGCAGCCTTGGCTGCCAGCTGGCGTTGTTCCTCAGCCTCGATTACAGCGAGCTGAGCCTGGAAACGCTTCTTGTAGTCGGCAATTGGCTC